ACAGTTGTGTATATTATCTAAATCAGTTAATAAGTGAAGGCATATTTTTTTAAGGATTAATTTTCATGGCATGTTAGATTCTTCTTTTAGCTTTTGACTGCAGTGAATTTATAGTTTGAAATCTGGACAATGGTTTAAATGTTAATTGTAATAATTTATTTTCCTTGTTGACAAAAATGTATGAAATGAATGTTTTTTTTACCAGTTATTTATACTCGGCTTCAATTCAAACTTGAATATTACACTTTTCAACACCCCGTCAAAATGTAACAGTTTAGGTGGAGGTTATATACTAACGGTGTGTAAGTGTATGGTATGCCGTGATGATTGAGCTGTGATTCATTTACATGTGTGTGTGAATGTTTTGGTTTAGGTTGAGGTTATATAATTAAGTATTGTGTGTGTATCAGGAGAGGAAAAAAGGCATGACCGGACCGGAATTTGAACCCAGACTTCCAATCTCTAGAGAGAAGCTCTACCATTTTTAGCTACCAGATGTTGTACGTACCAAATTCACTGCTGAAATATTGCTGCAATATAATGCTGCACATATCTGTTAGGTCTTCTGTGACCCCCGATTACAACACCATTAACAACCAATATTCAGTTATCCCCCGTGCCATGCATGCATACACCCAGTGCTTGAAACAAGGGTTGGTCACAGGCACCACTGTGTTAGGATAGAAAAACTGCACTGCCAGACTGCAATTTGAACCAAGGACCTCTGTACTCTAGACAGACGCTCTACCAATTGAACCTAGTGTGCTGTGGTCATGAAACCACAACAAGTGTGTGCAACACATGTGTTTCCTCAATCTAGTGTTTGTGTTACACTCGTGTGTATTCACTCTGGTGTGTGTTTTACACCCGTGTATATTCACTCCTGTGTTTGTGTATTACACCTGTGTGTATTCACTCTGGTGTGTGTGTTATACCCGTGTGTATTCACTCCTGTGTTTGTGTTACACTCGTGTATATTCACTCTAGTGTTTGTGTTACACTCGTGTATATTCATTCTGGTGTGTGTTACACCGTTGTATATTCACTCTGGTGTGTGTGTTACACCTGTGTGTATTCACTCTGGTGTGTGTGTTACACCTGTGTTTGTGTTACACCCATGTGTATTCACTCTGGTGTTTGTGTTGCACCCGTGTGTATTCACTCTGGTGTGTGTGTTACACCTGTGTTTGTGTTACACCCGTGTGTATTCACTCTGGTGTTTATGTTACACCTGTGTATATTCACTCTGGTGTGTGTGTTACACCCATGTGTATTCACTCTGGTGTGTGTGTAGCACCCGTGTGTATTCACTCTTTGTGTTACACCTGTGTGTGTGCTACACCTGTGTTTGTTATTACACCTATGTATATTCACTGTTGTGTTTGTGTTACACTCGTGTATATTCACTCTGGTGTGTATGTTACACCTGTGTATATTCACTCTGGTGTGTGTGTTACACCTGTGTTTCTGTAACACTTGTGAGTATTCACTCTGATGTTTGTGTTACGCTTGTGTATATTCATTCTGGTGTGTGTGTTACCCCTGTGTGTATTCCCTTCTGTGTTTGTGTTACACCCCTGTTTATTAACTCTGATGTGTGTGTTACCCCCGTGTGTATTCACTATGGTGTGTGTGTTACACCTGTTTATATTCACTCCTGTGTTTGTGTTACACCCCTGTGTATTAACTCTGATGTGTGTGTTACACCCATGTGTATTCACTCTGGTGTGTGTTACACCTGTGTGTGTGTTACACCTGTGTATATTCACTCTGGTGTGTGTGTTATACCAGTGTGTATTCACTCTTTGTGTTACACCTGTGTTAGTGTTACACCTGTGTTTGTGTTACACCTGTGTATATTCACTCTGGTGTGTGTGTTACACCTGTGTGTATTCACTTCTGTGTTTGTGTTACACCCCTGTGTATTAACTCTGATGTGTGTGTTACACCCGTGTGTATTCACTCTGGTGTGTGTGTTACACCTGTGTTTGTGTAACACTTGTGAGTATTCACTCTGGTGTTTGTGTTACGCTTGAGTATATTCACTCCTGTGTTTTTGTTACACCCGTGTGTATTAACTCTGATGTGTGTGTTACACCCGTGTGTATTCACTCTGGTGTTTGTGTTACACTTGTGTATATTCACTCCTGTGTTTTTGTTACACCCGTGTGTATTAACTCTGATGTGTGTGTTACACCTGTGTTTGTGTAACACTCGTGAGTATTCACTCTGGTGTTTGTGTTACGCTTGTGTATATTCACTCCTGTGTTTTTGTTACACCCGTGTGTATTAACTCTGATGTGTGTGTTACACCCGTGTGTATTAACTCTGATGTGTGTGTTCCGTTACACCCATGTGTATTCATTCTGGTATGTGTGTTACACCCATGTGTATTCACTCTGGTGTGTGTGTTACACCTGTGTTTGTGTAACACTTGTGAGTATTCACTCTGGTGTTTGTGTTACGCTTGTGTATATTCATTCTGGTGTGTGTGTTACACCTGTGTATATTCACTCTGGTGTTTGTGTTACGCTTGTGTATATTCACACCTGTGTTTTTGTTACACCCGTGTATATTCACTCTGGTGTTTGTGTTACAGTTGTGTATATTCACTCTGGTGTGTGTGTTACAGTCATGTATATTCACTCTGGTGTGTGTGTTACACCTGTGTATATTCACTCTGGTGTTTGTGTTATACCGGTGTGTATTCACTCTGGTGTTTGTTTTACACCCGTGTATATTTACTCTGGTGTTTGTGTTACACCTGTGTATATTTACTCCTGTGTTTGTGTTACACCCATGTATATTCACTCTGGTGTTTGTGTTTCACCCGTGTGTATTCACTCTGGTGTTTATGTTACAGTCGTTTGTATTCACTCTGGTGTGTGTGTTACACCTGTGTATATTCACTCTGGTGTGTGTGTTACACCCGTGTATATTTACTCTGGTGTGTGTGTTACACCCGTGTATATTTACTCTGGTGTTTGTGTTACACCTGTGTATATTCACTCTGGTGTGTGGGTTACACCCGTGTATATATACTCTGGTGTGTGTGATACACCTGTGTATATTCACTTTGGTGTGTGTGTTACCCCCGTGTATATTCACTGTGGTGTGTGTGTTACACCTGTGTTTGTGGTACATTGGTGTTTATGATGTATACACATTTGTTTGTGACACAAAGATACAATCAACATCTGTGTGTGTGACACCTGTTTTACATCTTTTACACCTGTGGTAATGACTCACCTTAGTTACATTCCACTTCATCACATACACAACATTTCATTCAAACTTAATGTACAAAAAGAAATCGTTTTCTCTTAAATCAATCTGTAAATAAGTGTTAACTAAGAAAAAATCACTTGATATTGTGGCACTCAATAATTTGGAGTTCAATAATTCAGAAATGATTTTAAAATGGTAGATAAAGACCAGTTTGGCTACCCTGTTTTAATCATGATCGTGATCATGGATCAGACGAACTCTTTCGGTTCGATGTTGGATCTTTCTATCGGATTACAACCCCCGTTTATTGGACATGTACAGGGGTGTGTTGTTTACTCGGCTTGTTGATCTTACCTATCTTCACACATGGTTGAGTTTTTACGACGAGTTACATACATTAAATCTAAAATAAAAAATCGGTTTTCACCTAGGTCTACATTTTTACAAAGACACACCTTACACAGCGTTCGTATGTATGACGTCAATGCTTCGGCACCACTTCTTTTGAACACTGCAATATGTCAGAGCGCGATTTCAATGTGACTGTCCAAAATTGACTATGAATTCTAGTCCTGAAAAGCTGTGGATTATACGTAATCAGATTACATTGATTTGATTAATATCGCACAACCAAATAACCATTTTCTTGCATTTAAAAGTTTCATTAATGCAGAAATTGTCGTCATTTAGTGATAGGATGTGTTCCTCCTTTATATTCAGTATTTTCATTGGTAGACATTTTTCTTCTTTTTTTTCTTCAAATGTTTTTTCATGTTTATTTCAAAACATTTACTTGGATAAAGAAAAGCCATTGAGAAATGCTACATAAAGAAAAATATAAATCTACTTGAAATGTCAATTGAAAATATATAAAAGAAATGAATAAAAAATATTTAAGGAAAAAAACGGGCTAATTGACAATTTAAAGTCCCAAGTATTTTGAGATAAGTTTTTCTGCAAGAATTTTTCGTTTTAGAATATTTTATTGTATAGGTCTTACATACAAAAGGAATTGGACAACAATCAAAGCCTAAAACAGCCCTCTCCTCTGGAAGAATTGAAGAATTAAAATAATAATAATAATAAAAAACCACTGAAGAAATCTTTAAGGTCAAACTGGATTAAAAAATGAAGGTGGGGAGGTTAAACGGCTTTAGTAAAGCCATTCACATATAGGAAAATTTGAAATATGTTAGTCGGGGGAGTTAAACAACCGTAGCAATCCTGTACACAAACCGTGCAAATACTACACAAGTACCTGACAGTAGAAGATGACATAGGGCTATTCAAGTTTTGTTATTTCGGACTCTGCCAGCTCTGGCAAAGTCCTTGTCTGGTACAAAATAAAAAAATACATAACTTAATTGTTTGGGGTAGACACGAAGTCCTTCCTGGGTAATTTGATCGGAGACCTGACCGTGGACCATTCTAATGTCTTATTAACCAGCAGAAGCTCTGATGTTTTGCTCATCGAAATGGGTTAGAAAAAAAAATAGACACTGGTATTTAGGCTAATATATATTACCCCCTGCCCTTGTCTGTTTGTTTCCAAAATTTTCTCCGGTCTGTTGACTTATCAAATCAAGCACAAATTGATGCACTTCAATAATTCCAGATAATTTCATATTTAATTTTGTCTTAACATGAACTTGGTGACTTTTACAATTCCTTGTAGCTTCATATGTTACCACTGATTTTAAGATGAATATTATTATTCATTTTTTTATTTTTTTTAGATTTTATTATATGCTGTTATTGTTTCTATTTTTCAGAAAAATGAATGGGCTCAACTCTAGTTGTAGTCAGAATGGTGGTACAATGAAGGGAAGTGGAAATAGTATACCCGCATTACGAATACAGCCCGACACCCCCGTGCCACCATCATGTGGCACTACACCCATTCCTCCCCTTGGGCAGGACAAGACGAACATTCAGTTACCAGCCCTGTCCACGACCCGTAGTGTGGTAAATCAAGGCAAACCCTCACAGAATGGAACTACGCCCCGGGGCATGGGACATCACCAAGCCAACAGCTTCTTCCAAACCCGCCATATCAAATCTGGTACGTCTCAGTCACTGCTTGTAGTAGCTCTTGTCAATAATGGTAAAGCTTCTCATCAAAATATACTTAAGATATGTTTAAAATTAGATGCTTAGTAAGGTCTAGATGATGAAAAACAAGGTCTTGAATCGTTGCAACACTTTTAATGATACGTACATTGTTTGTGTAGAAAGTAAAACTTTGATAATACATATTTCCAAACTGATGAATCTTATTGAATCGGTTTAAACAACTTTTTTCTATGTGATAAAAGAAAAACAAATTACATAAAAAATTATGTATTTGATTTATTATATTGATAATTTAACAAAAAAGCCCTCATATTCATAAAGTCTAAATATTTGTTAGTAATAGACATTAATTTTGTGTAAATCTTGACCTGGTTGCACTGTCATTGATTATGGCAGTGCTGTTAGGAGTGTATGATAAGGACTTGGTCAGAGTACGACATTCGCTTTCATTTGTTTGAGTTTTCTCCTCTCCATAATTCAAGTGGAAATCAATAACCCAATTAGCGGAGACAAGTCTCATTGTGAAAAGGAGAACGTAAAAATTTCATTGGAATTTAATGTAAAACGGTTGACTTGGACAATTGAACTGCAGACACACTCCGAGGTTCTGGCTAAACTTTGATGACTTAATGAAATACGATACAAAATACAAATGCATGAGAATGAGGAGCCTGGTACAACGATTAATCAATGGGGCGAGGATGAAATATTTAACATAGCCGGCCGGTGCCCAGTCGCTGCCGCTGTTCCACAGATACTTCGTAAAGATGTCGCTGATTTATCAGACATGTCCGGATAAATAATTGATCGTTTGATAAGAAGGGATAATGCTGATCAGAAAAACACAAAACAAGGTGAAATAAGATGATGTCCCTTCATCTTCTTACGGCTTCTGCTTGTGTCAAAGGTCATTCGGATTGTCCGTCTGGTTCCCTTACTCTGGCAGTGTATGTATGCGGATTAAAGTGAAAACCTTATCCTCTTCAACACCTAAAGCTAGAGTCATCTTCTAAAACTGTGGTTCATCACATCCTTTTGGCTCCTTTTTGCCAAACTATTGAAATGTCCTTGTTCATGCGTAATAGGAAATAATCAATTGTTGCTTCAGTTCAGGTCAAAGGTTACAATAAAGGTCAAAGATCAGTTTGTAATCTATAATAGCTACCAATGACTGACAGATGTTAGATCACTTTCTTTGATCTCTACGGAGAAACTCAAAGCAAACCTAATGGATTTGTTCTTTCCTGAGATAGTGCACTATCAGCAGATTTAATTGTCTGAGAAGAAAGAAACTTTTTGATTTTATTGATAAAAGATTTTTTTATCGACATGTTCTCCACCTACGCTCTGTAGAAGACCCATTTTTTTGGTCTGGGCCTCGTTTTACCCTTAGATGTAGATGGTACGATTTGACACATTGAGGTACAGGCAAAGTCGATAGAAAAAAGTGTGAAGATGGAAAGCGATTTCGCCGCTTCGAAGGAGCTTTCGCCGGTCCCTCGATGTGAAGGTGTGAAAGAAAAAAGTAGCCCGCTAATTAGTATATTGATTATGTGTCAGGGATGTCAATATGGGAAGTGGTTCGTTGTAGAGTATATACGTTTGTAGGCGTGTGTATCTCTGCTTATAGCGTATCACTCCCTCGCCAACAAAGAAACGCACACGACTACGGTACTCTAAATGGAAAACATTTTGTAGAAAATATTATGCTAAGTAAAAAATAATATTTTAAAAACCTTCAGTTCATCGAATCAGGTAGATAGTTCGATGCTGTCTGACGCCAGACTGTAACTTAAAGCCATCAAATACATTAGCACTTGGGCAACAACCACGATCATTTGTAAGTTAAATGAGATTTAAAGTACATTTTTACAGAAAAAAAATGTGTTTCTTTTGAAATTGAACTCCTACCTATTTCTTCTGAAGTTATTGCGTGGATTTGTAAAGCATGACAAATCTGATATTTCGAAACATTTTCTTAAGGCAGGTATATATACCGTAGCTTGAAACTGGGTACAATGCCAATCATTTTACTCAAACATTATTAATTTTATTATTTTCACTTGCGTTGTTTTTGTCAAACTAATCAAATTTTAGATATGTCAACGGAAACATTCCTGATCATTTAAAAGTTTAATGAGACATTAAGTAAATCTTAACTGAAACAAAATCTTCCATTTGAGATATAATTGGTGTATGAAGGTATTTCTCCTGAACAGATTCCGAACAGAATGTTGAATTTATGCATCTTTAAGCCATATTAAGCCACAAATAAGATTTTTCATCGCAAACTTTTCCTACTTGATAATCTTGTCAAAATAAAATAAAAATGTTATGTGTATTTCAATTCCATGCTTATTCAAATAATAAAATGTTAAAAAAGTTTACATTTTTTTCACGAAAGACCAATGTTAGACATGAAATAGCCATAATACTTTTATCAGATTTTGTAAAGAGTCACATTTGTATGAAAGAACAAGCATGTCGAAAATGTAATCGGAATAAAAACCAACAATTTGGATAATTTAAAAATACATGAAAAAATTAACGATGTATAAGATTCGTTTCAATAGATTTAAAAGTATTCAAAGCTTGTTAAATAATTCTGTTGGAATAAATCTTAAGTGACAACAATTTTTTTAATTATTTTTTTTGCTTGAAATTTTGTACCATTTTAATAGTTGGGAAAGAAAAAATAACAAAAACAGTTTAGAAAAAAGGGCATTGTTATATAGGAATAAAGACGATTGTTTTAAATATTAGTGTTTCTTAAGGGACAAGTTCTCTCTGATGTCAGTACGCTGTCGTAAATATTGTCTGCGGACTTCAAATTTATTGCAGAGATCCTCGATGATCTACACCACGAGGATGAATCACTGTATTTTTCTGTGAGTCATGATGTCACAATAGGTGCCTTCAGGAAGATTACTTATGTATCCGTCGTATTGTCACACTAGAAACATATTCAATATTTAAAGGCACTGTGTTCTGTACATTCGGTGAACATTAATTCTTTAAAACATTTTAGGGACATTATGAACACTTAAATTGATAAAATACAACACTTTTATCGGGGTTTAAAAAAAAATCTGGCCATGACCTATACAGAGCTTAGTTTTTAAATACCGGTCTTTCAATGTAATGGAGAATATTTATAAGAGGTGAAGGATTTTCAATACCATTCAGACAATATCACAGTAACTGTGTCATTGAAAATTATTTTGTTGCATTAAATTTAGAAATTTGATGTGGGATATCGATGAAATGTCCGTTTTACTGGTCCAGATTACCGACACCGTTAAATCGGATCGGTTGACATTGTAAATCAAATTCAGGCCCTATAGTAATCGTCAATAAAAGAATGCCTGCCACACATTTACTGCATTACGAGAACAAAGATTAATACACAACCTACAATTTAATATATAACATTTCTGCTGTGAAGGATAACATTTACATTGAGCTTTTATAGATTTTACTGGCAAAGGGCGAATATTTCACCACACGATTATAAATTTCACCAGTAATCGAGCAAATATTTCACTGTGAAATTGTGAATTTCATCATTGAAGGACGGATATTTCACTGTGTGATTGTACATTTCATCATTGAAGCGCAAATATTTTAACGGGCAGTTAAAATTTAAGGGAAAGTATGTCGCGGAACAATCATTGATTTTACTTGAGAAGGGCAATATTTCACTGGACAGCTGTTTTCTGATAATCGGTTCAGGAAGTGAATTATTTTTTAAGTGACAGTTGATCATGAGTTGATTTTTCTTCTGCAAGACCTAAAACCATCTTTGAAAGATAAGAATCTATAGAAATGTGTTTAAAGTAATACTGTAACATCATAGATGATATTTCATTATCACAAATACAGATTAAGAAAATAACAATAAAAATTTAATGAAATAAATATTCCTAGGTAGGACGATCATGAAAGTTTTCGTGTTTTCATGCGATATCTCATTTAACGTTACCATCCTGTAATTTATCTATCTAGTAACCTAGTCATACCGATTATCTACAAAAGGATAAAATCATGATAAATAAAATTGCTTCCGAGAAAGCTTTTATTATCTCTTAATGAAAGGCATGTGATCATGATCAAAGCTTTCTGAACTGACTCAGATTTAAATGTCGTGACTGAAAATACTGATTTATATGAAAAATCTAACTGTAATCATAATGATCAGGGATGACAAAGGAAATAAGGAGGTCAGAGAAAAACTTAAACGTAATCAAAAGGATGGCTCAAATATTTGACCAATAGATGCCCCCTGTGTACTGGTTCATGCAAAGCAGGGCTCCAATCGGAAGCAGTCCTGATCGCGGCCTCGTTACCGCGGCACAGCTAGAGTTGATGTTTTATTTACGGGCCGGTGCTCCAGATAAAGCATATAAACAATGATTTAAATGCAGATTGGACAATAAAACAGAATAATAGAATGGATACAATTGATCCAGCAGTGGTATTACTGAATTAACAGTCAACATAGCCTGTTATCATTGTCCAATCTCTCGCAGAAAAAACGTACCCATTTGGTGATCAAACTGTACATGTAACAGGTTTTTTGCCACCCCACTTTTGATCTGTTTGTGTATTGGTTCTACATATCCCCAAGAGACTTTAATTTTGCTATTTAAAGAAAAAAATAATGACACCATAGGGATTAGGGGTATTTAAAATTGAAACTTTTGATTTGCTTAATCTTCCACATTCTCCACAAAAAATTATGAAATGGAATTCTTGAAAACTGTTGTTTCAAGAAAAAATGGTTCTTCTTAGATAGTCTTGGTATTATCAAAGATTTACGGCTCAGGCGCATTTCAGTAGCCTTAAGGAATGTGTTTGTGCTGGATGTGTGGGTGACAGAAAATCAGAAATAATCTTCAAATGCTTAACAAGGAATAATAAACGTGCTTGGGATTCTTTTCCGAAATTTCAATTGCTGAACTTTTCTTGAAGACACCGCAAAATAGGTCAACAGTATTGTTTTTGGTCTGTTAAAGGTTGCTGTCAAAACAAAACCGACCCGCTCTGAAAAATATTTGTTTAAATAAGACTTACATTATTACTTGAACAACTTCAAGTTTCAAAGGAATCAAATAGTTCTGGTATGGTTTCGACTTTTCATCAAAATGACAGAGAACAATGAACAGGCAGAGCTGAACTGAAATTGAAACAACTTTCCCTGACATGGTTTGGCAAATGTTCAAAAACCATTTATAGAAAAAGTCAACTTTTCTGCTTTTTGACAGAAAATTTTTAGCTATAAAGACAGTTGTGACTCAACTTTGTAGTAAGGCAGAGAATTTTTTCTGAATCTTTGTAATCAAAATTGAAATGGGTATAAACTTGTATTGTTTCGAATGGTATCATGTTTTTATGTAATTTGGACAAGCACAAGTTAAGCTAACTAGCCGATACGTGCCGTGAATAGCACGATTTGTCTGGCTTTATATACTTTTCAAATATAATGTACATTCTACTTTCATTAAAGCCTAGCTGTGAAAGGCATCGGAACACAATGGACTTTTTCTCTGTTTCTTTTCTTACCTTGGCCAAAGATTTGTTTTTATGCCTTGATTCTGACCTATGTGTTAATTTTCAAACTCTGTTCTCAATGATAAATATTAGCTTTCACTTCAACACACACATAAGTAAAAAAATGTGTCTTTGACATCTTGTATGACATCAAGTCCTGTATTTAGAACAACTTGTACCACTTTCTGGAACAACAATAAAATCATGATCATCATAAATCTTGAATTAAAAGCAAGGGTTCAAGATCCTAGATATGTGTGACAGGTTTATAGTGGGACGTTACGAATCCTGACAAATATTGAAAAGGCCCCTGATGTCGCCTAATCAACACAGCATACTTATTTAAGCCATTTTAGAGTCTTATTGCCCATAGCAAGATGAAGCGGATTTTAAGCTTTTCAGAAATGTTTTCTAGAGTGGGGCAACCATTCTACCCCTTATACAAGTCAGGTATTGGCGATATTTTTAGCTTTAAAATCGATAAACTTCAAACTTATCTATTGTTTGGTGATAAGTTTATACATTGTGTAATGTTTAAATTTCATGTGGTAAACAGCTGATGTTATTTAAATGTAATTTATTTCTGCGAGGTGTTTATGTCGTGTCTAGGCCTGCCTTTCCCGTATCTGTGACTATCTGCCTATAGATATAGGTACAGTGTCACACACTATATATACACTTGACATAGGAGGAGGGGATTCTAGCAAATTTCTGGAGTGAGATTTTGAACTCTTTGATAAAATCAACACAATAAAAACGAAATGAATAATATAAATTAAATATCTATTTATTGTTATTGTAGTCCGTTTATTAGGCCGTTTGTTGTTCTTTATAAGGATGTGTAGGTAAACATATCATGCACTTCATAGCTATCTCTGTAACAGAACAATTCTAAATACGCTACAGGCAAACAACTCAACGACATTTCACCCATGTCTGCAATGTCTGCCCGATTCTGACAGACTGACTACCTGTTGGGTTGAGCTTATAATTAGGGATATTTAATCAAATTGAACCTTTTGAGATCACACGAGTAAATGCTTCATGGGTCAGTGGCCCCGCTTGATCAATGGGGCACAAATCGATAGCACAATCAGATTTTAATAACGGGAGGCTGAGGAGTCTGAAAACAAATTATAGCAGAGGCAATGGTCTTCGTACAAAGGACGGAGAGAAATAACTATTAGATGCCTGTATTGATTCTGTGTATAACTATTGATGATTAACTCAATGTAAACGTTTAACAGACTTTTGCAATCAGACGCGACATTTCTTAATATTGCCAGTAGATCAGCTACTTTAGGTAACGACATTGTATAATAGATTGAAATGTTAAATCAATATCAAACTTGATACATGAACATAGTTTATTTGCTTTATATTAAAAAAATACAAACAAATAAAGACATTGAATCACCGTAATTAAATGTTTAATGATAAAATTATCAATAAAATCGTAATAATACGTTTCAATTTTATCTTACGGGTAGCCATATTCAGTCCAACTCCCATATCCTGCCTAAAACATATTAATATGCAGCTGAGGTTTGTACCAGAAAATATTCAAGATTTCTTACACAACAAGCCGCCGAAGCCATGATCCAATTACCATAAATGCCCTTAACATGTTACTGCTTTTCTAGGTTTTCTTCGTCCCATGGATATGATCATACAGTGACTTATATAAATTTTCTTGGCATTGAATTAGGTTATTTTTATGGAAGACACAGCAAGATACATTGAAACTGGTACCTTATACTAATGTGAGGGTTGGCAGTGCTCTATCTTAATTGGAGCCCAATAGGACCACACATGTTGTTGTTTGTGCAGGGTTGCGGATTGTCTGCTTGATCAGAGTTCACGATACACCTCTTGTTGTCTCTCCTTTTGTTTCGGTGTCTCTTGGTTCACTTTTGCTAACTTTTCATTCAAATTTCATCTACAAAAGCATAGATCTATATCTATTTTTGTTTGTTTATGAAGATCCTGTTTGTTGTCATTACAGATATGAATGGAATGATGGGACCGATGTGTATGGGGATCAATCCACGCAACCGCTCCATGGGGCACCAGGTCCAGCAACCCAGCAACCAGACAATACAGCAGCAGAACCTACACATTCCCAACCGTCTGGAGACGTCCACCCCTACGCCCAGTGAAGTGTCCAGCATCCGGTCAACTCCACGACCCTCTGCACAGACCCCAACTATGCAGGACCGTGTGACAACGCCATCTTTTAATGGGAATGACAAACATGTTTTCTTAGAGCCGTTCCCAGTCACCAAGAGTGAATGGAACCCGTACAAGCCTTTGCCACAAGTCCACCATGGCAGCAACGGCACCTCTGTTACTACAGCAAGTGAAATGGACCGCCAATCCAACTGCTCCAATGGTATGATCCCAAGTGCCACCTGCTCTTTATCGCCCTACCAACACATGGAGACATCGCCATCAGGTTCCAACTTCACGTCAAGTCCACGCAACTCAGCACATGTACGGATGCATGGAACGAAACGTGCTCTGTCAATCTCCCCAATCGGCTCAGATGGAGTGGACCTTTATTCCCTTATACGGACGTCGCCCACTTCGCTGGTGGCATATATCAACGGGTCACGCAGCTCCTCCACAAGCGTGTCACCACAGCCCGGGGTCCAGCCAGGCCACTTTGGTCACTTGATTGCACACAGGAGTAACAGGGGAGGTAGCACTGGTAGTCCCTACTCGGGATCTGGCCTATCCAGGCCTAGAACCCACTATACTCCACATAGTGGTTTTAAACGTGAGCCAGAGTTTGGTATCAATGAGAACCTGTCGGACATATTTCCCGACATCGTCAGTAACCAGGTTGTGGTACAACAGAGTGATGTCCCCTCCTTCGAGCAGCGTGCAATGGAGGACATGCGTTATTCTCAAATGAATAATTTTGGTCACCAACATAACCACCAGCACAACAGCGCCTCATCTGGCACCAACATCAGCAGTAACCTGGCAGTGGTCGGGCGCCCACCCCCGCCCTACGAACAGGCCGTGGTTCAGAACCCTGCTGGGCCAACTCCGACCTCCCAACAACAACAGATGCCACACATGCCAACGACACAGCACCACCACCACATCCACACATCAGCACCTCAGCAACAACAGCACGTAACACAGCCCCTCCAACAACACAACTTCCAGCACAACAACATGGCACCCCAGGTGGCGCCCGCTCTACAACCGCTCTCCCAGCTGAGCAACAACAGTAACAACTTGGTGAACACCAATAACATTATCAATGAAAATAACTACATGAACGGTGACATGTGTGACGACGGAGAACTAGACGAGAACGGTGAGAAACAAAACATGTGCCGGTGGATTGACTGTAATCTTATGTTTAAGGAACAAGACGAACTTGTCCGTCATATAGAAAAGGCCCACATTGACCAGAGAAAGGGTGAGGACTTTACGTGCTTCTGGTCAGGGTGCCAGCGCCGATATAAGCCCTTCAATGCCAGATACAAGTTACTTATTCACATGAGGGTACATTCTGGGGAGAAGCCAAACAAATGTACAGTAAGTAAAATTCTACCTATATCCACAGTTAACCTTGCATTGTACATCATCCCAGATACTGTCTGTGTAAAGTCCGACCTGTAACAGTGACTTGTAGTCAGCAATGTTCTATGGTTTCAAAATGAATGCAGTTTTAGTTTCAGGACTAAATATTTGATGAAAATTCAAGAAAAAATGTTTGAATGTTTGGGCTCTGCACTGCGTCAGACATGTATTACACCAGTATGTATAATTAAATGATCATACAACAATAACACATTTATCAATACACAGCTAATCTGTTTCCAACTCACACATGTATTTTTAAGCAAAACAAGTTCCAAAAGGTCAAAATCATGCCGGTCCTACACATGGATTGTCGTGTTAACCTTTATTTTGATACGTATGTCCTTGACCAGTGCACTGCCGTTAGATCAGAGGAAGTTCGGCCTGACATCGATACAAGTTTTACGTTACAATATTATAGAAAGTAGGTTTGTATTTCCGGGTATCATGTAGGACAGTCGAGTAGATTTAATAATTGATAAGTTTGCCCCGAGCTGGACTAATTGTAGAAGACGTTTGTTGATTAAACTGCCATGACCAGACTGCTAACGATCTGTAATTCATGGCAGACACATGCATTGCACTTCCGCTCCAAAGCTTCTCTACACATCAATCAAGAGATTCTGTTTTAAATGTAACAATAGCTAATCACTTTATTTATTGTCCTGTTAGAGCAACTTTAGAGAAATTCAACTACTAAGTTAGGAGTATTAACCATTTAATTATGTTTTTTAACCCTTTCACCACTGGAGACCATAATGGACTCATCCAGATCAATGCATGGCAGAGTCTACTATAGTTACATAGGGGTGAAAGGGTTAAATGGCCATTTCTGGCTTAAATCTATTGACCAGTTTAGTATACAACCTGTGGTGCAATGAAGAATTTTTCATGAAGACAATATTGAATCTTATTTAGCAACACAATAAAATACCTTTTTAAGAAATAAATAACTTGTATAAAAAAAAACTGTAGAAGTACATACGCACATTGGTTGATTATAATGTCTTGCAATGCAACCTGTGTTGCAAGGAAGAAATATTTATAGACAATAATAAATCTTATAAAGTACCACAATAAAATAACTTTTTAAGAAATAAATAACCTGGATAAAAAAACCACTTAAGTAGTCTGTCTTAACACACATTGAATGATTCTGATGTCCCACAATGCATCAGTAAAACACTCACATGTGTAGTATAACACCTGTGTTGCAAGGGCGAATTATTTATAAAGGCAATATAAAATCTTTTTTTTAGTACCAAATAAAAATACTGTTTTAAGAAATAAATAACCTGGACAAAAAACCTTAAGTAATATGTACACACATTGGTTGATTCTGATGTTACAATGCAACCTGTGTTGCAAGGAAGAATTATTTATAGACAATAATAAATCTTATAAAGTACCACAATAAAATAACTTTTTTAGAAATAAATAACCTGGACAAAAAAACCTTAAAGTAGTCGTTACATACATTGGTTGATTCTCACTGATGTCCCACAATGCATCAGCAGGACACTCACCTGTGTAGTAACCCTACACTCATTGAAATGTCTCCAAAAGTTACGGCTGTGAAATGAATACATTAAAAATGTCTATGACAAAAGGTCAACCTGGTGGCGGTACCTGGGTTAGCATGTTCATTAAAACGTTACATGATTGTTTAACAAATCCAGTGTTATAGACGGACATTTGAAACAAATGTCTTTTTTTAAATCATCTAAATATATGGGTGTAATGTTTCAGTTTTGTCATGTGACGTTTTCAAATTTGTGACAGCTCATACAGGGACAAAGTTTGTAAGGACGTGATTTAATGCTGTTTGGTTGTAATTAAGGGCAGTTTAGTTCTGATGTACAAGATGACTGTAGGTTTGTAGACAGGTGAAAATACAGCAAAAAGCAATCATTTCACACTTTCAGTTATGTAACAGATGTATGTCATTTGAATATATATATTTAACAATTTCAATAATGATTTGGTTGTGATTTGGTTGTGATTTTGTATGCGATATCATCTGAAGATAAGTTAGTTAACCCCTTCACACCTAAAGTCACATCTGAACCTTACCAAATCAAAGACTGGGCAAGTCCACTTTAAATATGTAGGGGTGAATCAATCAAGATAGAAATAAGATCAATTGTTTTGAAAATTGATCGGTAAATTTACCATTAAATGCATTATCATGGTTCAAGTGATTAAGCCGTTTGTTTTTTCCACCAATTCATTTCATTGTACACTTTCGATGTATTTGTTTGAGTAAATTTAAGTGTTGTGGGTGTATATTTAGTTAAGCATTGAAAATGTCTTGAAAGATTGATGACGATTGATCACAAAGGCCTCTCCATGTAAGAAGTTTGCAGAAATTACCGCAATTTTTTCTGTAGTCATTTCTATTAGCTTGCACAGTGAAATGATTGTCTGACGGCGTATTTGATTTCTTGGCCTTGTCGATTAAGACTAGACTGGGGTAAGCTAATATAAGTTAACAAACATTGGACAGAATTATCGAAGATAGTCTCTGACCTCTTCCTGACCTCACACGACAGTTCAGACCAAACAATCACATTATCATTCGAAATATAAATATATTTTCAATACAGGGTAGTATTTTCTCGGAAAACATAAAGATACTTTTATCCCATGCTGGTAAACTTGAAATCTTGACAATATACTTATAAGCAATTTTGTAGTGACAAGAAGTCTTAAATTTTGTAAGAGGAAGTAACACAGGGGGTAAACACTTGAAGCTATCAGTGAACTGCGGGCGTTAAGAGTCCGATTAACTCTGCATAGTCAACAAAATCAACTTAACACCATCAGAGTCATATAGACTATAACATTCCGCAGACTTTGACTTTAAAAATTTGCTTTTTTCAAAAACAGTGAAAATTTTTCTTATGACTTCAGACTTTTTGTGATAAAAATCTAGCACTGTAGGTATTTGTAAATCAATTTAATGAACAACAGCAAAGTAGATCTAGAGTAAGATTTGAATTTTTCAAGTGAATCAAACTACGTGCAAGATGTTGTGTTTTATCGGCGATGACCTTGTTTCTTGTTTACAAAAACGTGTGACATGATCTGTGCAGGTCATCTCTACTCTGCTGTAGCTATGATTCAGCATGTATTGAAGAATCACAAAATATCTTCATATTCCTGCTGACAAAACTCACATTTAATGGAGGCTTAAAAGTTTTAAACACATCTGCCAGCTTATAATACTAGATTTGAAACTACCATGCAGTATACACTCTTACTTCTAAAATTCCTTTTTAGTGAAATATATTATGCAATAGAATGCTCGTTCAAAATATATTTTTAAGGACTATGTAATACATGTACTTCTTTGTCTAACAGATCAAAAACCAAATTATCGCCTTTGAGTCCATATAAGGATAAAACAAATCGTCAAACGTCCTTATTTGGACGAACAAAAGTTTATCATAATTCTAAACTATTATGAATTGTTCATACTACATTGTATGCATATCAAGACAAATGAACCGCAGAATTTATCCACGAAGTAAGAATATTTGTGTAGTTAATCAGAAACCAAGGTCCAGACCGTACGTCCGACACAATAACGCCATGGTTCAGGTATACATTGCAGTATCATATCCACCAAACGGTCCTCTGTGGAAATTCTCGACAATGTGCCAAAAATCGCCATGAGTAATATCACGTTAAGAATTTCTTCTGCAACTTTAGACCTCTGTCATAACAGGAACTTATGTGTGTGCGTGAAATAAATCAGTTTATCGGAACATTCAATCAGCGGAGAAATTTGTCAGATTTCTATTGGTACCAGTTTTAAGCTGTGGTTGATAGCGTTATAGTCGAAAACTCAATGGAACTATCAGATTTAAGGGAAAACATTATTGGCAACTACTCAAGATAGATTTGTGTAAAGTCACAAGCAACTACAACAGGAATTTAATGAATTAAAAATGGAGAACCATGATTTACCGTAGATTTGGAAGTGACACTCTCAAATATTAAATGCAGTTATTAAACACACTCTTGTTTGAATCCCATCAACACACAGTTTGTACCAATTAATCTAGGGTCTTAACTGATTCACCCCTAAAGTCACATTTGAACCTTACCAAATCAAAGTCTGGACAAGTCCAGTTTAGAAATGTAGGGGTGAATGAGTTACCTTACCAAATCAAAGAATGGGCAAGTCCAGGTCAAATATGTAGGGGTGGATGAGTTAAATGAAAGCTTTTTGAAAATCATTTTCATCTATGGCTTTTTGTTTTAAACATTTTTCTTAAATCTTGTGTACTTTTGTTTCAGTTTGAGGGATGTAACAAAGCATTTTCACGTCTTGAGAATCTTAAGATTCATTTGAGGTCCCACACGGGGGAGAGGCCGTACGTATGTACTCATATAGGGTGTACAAAGGCCTTCAGCAACTCCTCCGACAGAGCCAAACATCAACGAACACATCTGGATACGGTGAGTTTTACACGGTCATAACATATCCCAACCCCAGAATACTAATATAACCACTATTGAACATGTAGTCACATTTCTGGTCGAACCAGGAACTTCTTTGTCCGGTTTCATTTAGAATTTACACATTTATAACATCCAAACCCCAGAATATTAACCCTTTCACCACTGTAGACCAAAATTGATGGACTCATCCATATCAGTGCATGGTAGAGTCTACTAAAGTTACATAGGGGTAAAAGGGCTAACCACTATTGGACAGTCACATTTCTGGTCGAACCAGGAACTTCTTTGTCCGGTTTCGTTTATAGAGTTTCTTGTAACCGGGAGACAACATCCTGTATCGTTCGTTCATACCTGGAAAATTGAATGTCTAATTTGTTTTGAAGATTTTTATTTAAAAATGAAGAACTTTTTTCCTGTTGTTTGTTGCATTTTGGAATCAATTAAGATAAAAATCTTGTATAAATTGTCTGACAGATGAGTCAAGTTTTTAATCACAGATCCATTGCCATAACCAAACTGTTTTAACTTGTCGAAACTACACTAGGTTTGCCAGACCGTGTCAAACATATCCTGTTCGATTCAAGGTCATTTAAATGACATCATTGTCAAGATGAATAAAAAAAAGTTAAAATCCTGAAATTGATCTGAGAAAATAAAGTTAAATAGGTGCACATAGGGGAAAAAAATCTGCTGAGATTGATCACCAAAATAAGATTTAAATATAACGCTGACCTCGGTAACTGGAAACACACGGGTACTGCCTGGCCCGATCCTGTCAATAGGAATTTGTAAATAAAGTTGTAGGTTTTCTTTAAATCAAAGCTATTATGAGCCTTAGAAAATCTCCTATTTGTTTACAATTATGTGGAATTTACGCAGCCTGAAACATGATCCGAAAAATCATCGGAGCCCATGGATTATTTACTAGCTAATAAAAACGATGACGGCTGAAGATAATAGATTTCTGATGAAAATTAAACAAAGAAGTGTGTTTGATTGATATGATCAACAGTGGACTACTCTTGTCGAGGGGGTATTGTTTGTCGATGAAGATATTGTGTAGGGCTATATTAAAGTATATTGTGCACTTACAATGTGTATTGAGGGTTGCACAATGTATGCTATAAAATCACAGGTATTCTACAGGTGAAAACAGACACCTGTCCCTTTGTAACGGGAAGTACAATTTGAAACGACTTGATAGGTATAATTGGTGTCTGTCAGTAACCGTCCTGAATACAGTAATAAAAATCATTTATCACTTCAAGCCAGCGGAGCATGAAATTATTAAAAAAGAGAAACACATTTTTTCACAATCTGCCTTGAAATTTGCTTTTCTTACAGACAAATTGGCCTGATTGTATCATAAAGTGATGCATTATACAACCAACAGTTTAATAAATCTTTGTGTGGCAATATAAGATCTTACAAATCTAGAACCATTTATTATACCCCCTAAAAAGATGCAGGGGAGAGGGGGTGGGGGGAGGGGTGTTGTTATTCTAGAATCAGGGTGTCTGTTCATTCATTTGTAGATGAATGAGTTTGTGCACCTGCATTTTATTTTTCATATCAACTCTATTTTGCTAAGAATTATGCATCTTTTCACGTTTGTTTTGCATAGTGTTATCAGGTAGAATTAATTTTACTGTATATTATGGGATGATGAGTTTGAAATGTTTGATTCAATTTGGATAACCAAATCTGACTCTATTACTCATTTTCAGCATAGATCATAATCGGCTTGTCATTATGGAATGAGTGCGGAAACCTTGACCATGGCCTAGGTTTGCGTTGAGTAAACCACTTTCATTATAAATGAAATACGCTTCACAATATGCTGTCATTAATTTAAGTCAAGCTGTGTGTACTAACAGCCTTACAGGCGTACACTGCTGTCTTTATTCAATACTGTATTCTGACAGATGCAAGAAAAGTAAATGGCTTCATTTCAGGTGTTATTTGAAAGGGATATATTGAGTAGAAAATTTCACCACAGTGTAGATAGCACAAAAAATCAATCTCCAGCATTAAGTAGCATGCAAACAAATATCCTACAGCATTGGTAGATTACAAAATCAGAAACTGGAGAAGCTCTCTAATAAAGGAATCATAAAATAGAATAAAAAAAGTAATGGATTGTAAACGGGAAACTCAGGAAAAAAATATTTGGCTTAATTATCTTTTTCAAGAGCATACACTAGGACAGAGAAAAAACAGGATTAATGAAAATGTATGGTCACAAAAATATTTGCAAATGAAAAGAATGAATTCAAGATCCTTGCTGTCCTTTAGTAAACAAGAATATTATGAAGTTTTCTATCTTGTTATAACTTTTCAATAAGGTTTGAAAAATGTTTTGGTATTTAAACAAAAATGTACGGAAATCTTTTGTGTGAGACGTGTCCGGAGTATTTGGCTGTGTGGTGTGTTTGAGCTTCCGTACAGCCAGATAAGATGGCTGGTAATGTTGACTTATCATTGATCCTTGTACTCGCTTAGGACAATACTTCCACCTGGGGCTGGCACAATTTCAAATAATTTATTTAATTCAACAAAAGATTTTTAAAGCTTTATTTAACTTTCTAAATAAAATCCATTTATCTCGATACATAGATAAAATGCTGTGGAAAGCATTTGTCGGCTGTATAGCCAATAATGGGAAATTAGAGCCACACCTTGCCCAGGTAAATAGTGCACAGGTGTGTATATACCTGTAAAACTCTGACATCATCAGGTTCTGTACTTTACTAAACACTTATTTAAACAGTCTATTTAAGAAAATGTTACGTGTAAAATGAAAACGAAGTTCAATAACAACATCCTCCTGCTGTGTGCATTTCAAAAGTTTTAAAAGAACGAAATGCACACAAAAAAAATCTATTTCAGTGAAATCATTGTTATTCTGTGTGTAAATTCACATTTGAAAGAAGGAAACATTCTTACATACAGAAAAACAGTCAATAAATGCATTCCACTATATATTTCTAGCTAGTATTATTAGTTTGGCAGTCTGCAGATACAAAATATATATATATATACATGGTCTTTGCAAGCCAATTTCATCAGTCTCGGATAGTATCAGTTTTATTGTAGGCCTTCATTAGTTTTAATCCTTTGATTGAAAGAATTTATTTGCACAAAATTAAAAAAAAGAATCGGTAATGTTGCAAAAGAATTAATTGATGAGTAAACATGGAAATTTGTTGCTGAAGTTAGTTGTCATTTGTTGCGCTGAGGTTTGTTGCCATTTCAAAGTAATTTTACCGCAGCTTTAAAGAGGCTAGTGACATATAGTAACATATTAATTGAAGGTATCGGAACTTGTATATTTCAGAAACCGTACGCGTGCCAGGTAGCGGGCTGCAACAAACGATACACGGATCCGAGTTCTCTGCGCAAGCATGTCAAGAATCACAATCAAAAGGACCCACAGATAAAAAAGAAGGTGAGTTTTCTATCTCCTCATTCAGGGCCAAGAAAATGTTTGTAATACTGACAATAGTATGTATGTATACTGCTCCATGATTATATTTTTTTTAACTCATTCACCCCTGAAATATCATCATGAACTATTCCAACCTTTGAATTGGAAGAGTTTAAATGTGTCCTCAGGGGTAAATGAGTTAAATGTATTAAACAAGAAATACTCCTATATTCTAACAAGTAAATCAGTACCATTACTATCCATTTTTTTTCCATTTTTGAATGGAATTTAAAAGGATTATAACATTTTTTTTGTTAAAAGAAATTAGTTTGGATTAGTGGGGTTAATTAATTTCTTTAATACCTAAAAACAATTATTTTATAGAACATTATCAATTTATTTTACTGATCGTAAAATAAAATATGCCTGATATCGTAAAATAACATTTAAATTAGAATATTTCTTTTTTGAGGGGTGGGGTGGAAATAAATTGCTGCATATAGCTCTTATTGAAATAATCCAATTTATTAAAAAATTAAAATGGAAATCTGATTCAGAAAACACGAGTGAACAACATACATATGTGTTCAGTAGGTTTTCATAGCAAAATACTGCAAATGAATATCAATCGTGTCATTGTCTGTTAACGTGAAATGCAACTCAAAATTTAATGAAATATGCTATGTCATGTTTTCAATGAACTTTCTGCACACTGTCGATCAAAATGTACCTCGTTTTGACTTATTGGGTGTTTTATCAATATATAAATCTAGAAACTCCACTTGAATGCCAATCTCCAGTGATAAGAGGGCATTGAATCTGATGTTGTGTATGACAAAAACAGCATGGAATGCTTGTGTCTCTAGAATTAAAATGTCCCTATCAGCACATATTTTTTTCATTTTCTTGTATAAATTATGTAAAAGATTTACAAAGATTTATGACAGAGCAATTATTTAAAATTTTGATATTTCTATCTTCAAACGTACTAAAAATAACCTACAAATAGTAAATTTGAAATAATCACAGTATGCGACTAAGGCATTGAACACTCAGGTTAATCTGTAGGTGATCAAGAAAGGTAGCCATGTTTAACTGTTAGAGGTAAATAGGGGATGGGCTTGTAAGGAAGACGATATGGGTGTGGACTGTAGGTGTGTGTTAAATGTTTACCTGTACGTTCAGGTAGATGTAGATAGATTTCTTATTGTAGGTAACAAATAAGCCTTATCTACGAACACTTCGTACGGGACCAAACAAATCTATAAAGAGATTATCAGTGTTTGGTAGGTGTTGTTGACTAATGTGTAGGTACCATTTATTTATAGAATAGTTTGGTCAATGCCTTAAGTCTTGTGATTTTTTTTGTCTTTCATGATATTTACATGCAGAAACAGTTTTGACCTCTAAATCAAAAATAATGTCAGGTCTTTAAAAAAAAATCACTGTATAAAATATGTTTGTTTTTTTCGACTTTGTTACCTTACCAGGTCAAAAAACTCAATCATAATTTGAAGAGGTTTGTTTTGAGCACAGAACTCCATTATTACTCTGTTAAAGAATATACTACATCTATCTCGTAAACAAAAATCAAATGAAACCTTGATTTAATTGATTTTAATCAGTAATTTAAAGAAACAAGACGGATAGCTTTTTTGTTTGTTTGAAATATCAATATCATAAAATTAGTTCCCAACAAGGAAATTTAGTATAATACTGGAGTTGTTTCGCCATAAACTTGACACATGTCCTTTGACTGTCAAACAAGCCTTAATGTAAATCTATGACGAGGCAGAATTTGTATACTAATCTGACGATCGACTGAATTCTCATGACCATCTACAATAAATGTGAAAAGTCAGTCTGCGAAAGACGTTCGTTACATTGTTCCGTGCCAACATTTAGGGCAACAATATCATTTGAGCCTTTTAAATTTGGCGACATGAAAATAGTCAGTGACCCCAGAATGAAACCAGGACATTTATCATTCTTTGGTGATCTCAGATTTCTAAAATAATAAAAGGAAATATTTTAATGACATGATTATATTTAAAAAAAGCCATTAAGAAGAAAGTAAACACTTAGTGTTTTCCTCCTGGTACACCATCCATGATGAATTTTTAAATTTTATTTTTTTAAAGGATTTGCAAATATCATCTGGAAACAAAATCTATGGGTTTCCTAAAGAAACCCTCCGGCATTTAAATGTAAAATGATGCTGAAAACAAACTTTGAACAATTCAAAACAAGTGAACGCAGATTAATCACTGTGATAGGCTGAAGAGAAGTAATGGCCCGCTTTAATTTTTTGTAGTCTGACTGTAGAGAAAATTAACTGAGGACATTTATGGCAATACATCTGTACCACCTTTTTATCTAAATTCACTTTTTTTTCGTCAGTGTTTAGATTTGTTGTTATTTAAAAATAAACATTCATGATCATTTTATTGGTGATGAAGTCTAATATTTTTTTACATGATGATGCATATTCGTGAACCCAATTACAGTAACAAAAAATAATTAAAAAAATTGCCAAGTACAAAACTCACTATCTTCTATAATTCTTGTGCTACATGATATGTTTACTGTTTTGGTCCTAAACTGTTTGTTTTTCCCTACGTAGCTGTACACGGCATTGTCAGAGAAACTGTAAATATTGAGAATGTGCTGTTAAAATTGGTCCATTTTATGTCAACAGATAATTAAATTCACAAAGAAAAGTTGGTGTTCTGTTTGAATAGACTGAGAAATGGGTGATTAAATGGAGGTTACTCACCTATATGTACCCGTTTCTCATTTGTCTGAAGGCTTCCGACAAATAAATATTTAAAAGCAATTTCTTTTTCAAGTCACATCATAAATAACCTTGTACCTACACACAAATCAATGATCACATGCGTGTCCCTGCCGGATTCTTTTAATACGCAAACCTTGAACTTTCATCATGAATTAAAAACATTGGTGTTTAACAATATAAATACATTTAAAAATTTGGTATGTTACATTTATAACATGAAAAACATTGGTGTCTTACATTTTATAACATCAAAAATTATCGATGTGTTTACAATGTAAAATATCAAAAAAAAATGGTATCTCATATAAATTGATACCATTGATAACATTTGTGTCTTAAAATATCGTAGCTGTCAACCCTCCTTCATTTGGAGGGACCCTCCCTCATTTTTACCAAAACTTACCGATCTCCCTCAAAACTCCCTCTTTCATCTCCAAACTCACACAAACTCAAAATCTACATCCTGTTTTCAAATTATCTCATAGTTACTGCAGGATGTGTGTAATGATCATAACAGGTGTGTCTGAATCAAATAAACATTTTTTGCGGATATTTTGTTACATAAGAATTAAGGGAATGATAAATTGAGCAAAGCAGTTTCAGTCACGTTTCACGCACTTTCTCCCTCATTGGAAATGTGGAATGAGGGAGATCTCCCTAATTGGAGGTTTCAGAGATGTTGACGCCAACGCAATGTTAACCATTAAAAACATTGATACCCTACAAATCAAAACATTAAACATCTAAAATGACAAAAGAGAACATTGTTTATGAGCTTTATTTTTTACTCGTTTCAGATGAAGAAGGAGGGAGATTCATTGGCGGGTCATGGCATGTTGTCCAACTGTTTAACAGTACAACAACTACATGTGGACAACACCCAGACAGAAACACAGGAAACCAGAATAGGGGTTACCGGGCCAACCACCGACCTCTACACTAGTGAGTTATCTCCCTTTTATTTAGTGATCTTGTCTTTTTTTACTCTTCAGAATTGTGTACTAAAAAGACAGTTATCTGCCCTTGTTGTTTCATCTATCAATGGACGGCAAAAATACATATCATCCTCTACCTGCTGTTAATTATATATAATTAATCACACCATGCTTTAATTCTGCCAAAGTCAAAGAGAAATGATACGAAACATAGGAATGTCTAAAAACATTCAACTAAGTATAGCTCTTAGTTAAGAAACAACATGCATTTTTTTTTTTTATTATTATTATTTTTTATGAAATAAATATTTTGGTTAAGACAGAAATCTGATACATTTGTCTGACAGAATTTGGCACGGAATAAAAGGGTTTGAAATATAACTGCAATAATAAGGTTGTTCATTAAGCGTTTCGTGACAGAATTTTCTGTTAAGGTAATTGATGTCATATGATCAACAAAACCATAGAAAAAATTCTCACTTTTTCCTTCTGAAAAAAACATGTAAATGGGTTTCTTAAAGTAGTTTGAACAACATTGGCAACAGTTTGTACTGAGAGGGCCCCTGCCCAAGTGATACCGATCTGATAGGCAGATGTATTTAGGCCAGTCACCCTGATAAGTGATAGGGCACATATCGGAGGGCTTATGTTATTGGCGGTGTTTATTTCTGTCTCTGACGTCAATACAAGGCTACACAATGGCCTAACTTTGTTCTAGGCCTCTCAAGCTTTGCAGACGTGTTTTTTTGGTTTTTTTTAATAAAATACTTTACTTTTTAGGCATATCACAATGTAGCAAATTTTTGTATTGATTTGTAAGTTAAAGCCCAAACAAGATTCAGTTAGAGAAATCGACACTTGTGTTTAGCAATTCTGAACATATAACATTGGTATTTGTACTATATTTTCTTTGAAACATGCATGAATAAGATATAAACTCCCTTTGCATTAGTTAAAGTAGTTCCAGAGAATTCAGCTATTCAATATAAAAAAAATGTTTGTTTTTATTTTGTATTCTATATTTAATTAAATGCATTAAGTTTTTTTGTTCAGAAATTGTAAAGTAAATAATGTTCATTAAGTTGTGCAAGTTTTCTTAATGTACTTAAATATCTAAATTGGGAAATGTTCCTAGGCTAATTTTGCTTGGTTTTATTTTGTTGGATAAGGAAATAAATGTAGAGAAAGGTAATTAGTTTGAGCAAAATCTTGATTATGCATTTCTTTAAAGTGAATAAAAGTATCTGTGAATGTCATTTCTGTGCTTTCAGCCGACAGTCAATAAAGATAGGCTATCAAATGATCAATTTTATGTATACTTTAATAGTATTTCAATCATGAAGTGAAAAATGATTTTTTTTATGCAGACCACAGTTAACTAAGAAGATTTTCTGATACTTATAAAGAAATTTTTGTGCAGTTTCTGATACTTTCTCATTCTTTCCTTTTAGTTGGTTTATCGGACCATTCCCCAGGTCCTGTTGCTATGGGAAGTCCGATGCCCAATTCCAATCTCAGCGTAGTCGAAGAGGAACAGGGGTACGTCACGCACTCCTTCAAGCAAGAATAATTCACCTTTTAAATACTGTAAAAGAGACTTCGGGGAATCTGCAATAAAACCATGAAAATTGTTTAAGAAGGAAGTTTGAAACAGAACAAGAAAATTTGAGAATGTTATTACATGTATATATATTACAAGGATTTTAATTTTCACTTTTTAACTCCCTGTTGTGATAATAGAACAAAGAAAACTTTGTTCAGATGAAAAGGAAAGGACTCATTTACATTTCACGATGTTCACTTCAGATCCTTTTGCTTTTTAAAGTAATTATTTTTATCTAAATGAAAATCCTGCACACTTTCTGTGCTCGCCAATACACAAGTCATTTCACAAACGAAGAATGTCTTTTAAAGAAAATTTGTCATAATTAGATTTACTAGAAAATACTTCAAGCAGAATGTACCGTGTAATAATGGCTCATTATCTATTCTTATTTGTGTATAGAGTATTTCAATTTTGACACAAGTTTGTGTTCCGATGGTTGTTCAGAGCCACTCCCTGATCAGTTGCCAATATACCCCCACATTGTTCTCTGTGTCTCAATACCCACACATAATTAACATTGTTTCTTTGTCATTAATTGAGGACAGAAAAAAATAAAGGCTGTCATAATTTGCAATTTGTTCTTAGCAGGGTATTTTTTTCATAAAGAAATTCTATAGTAAAAAAAAACCCATTAATTTTCAAAATGACAATATCTGTCAAGAAGAATTTACAGTTGTGAGTATTATTTGGACATTTGGAAATTGCAGCTATCAGAAAGATCGTTTCCTTAACAAAGTACTGTACCAATTTATTTGATTATGAAAGTCGTGTTTATTTGAAAAGATTTTTTTTTAAAAATGTTTTATTGTTCGATTTTACAGATTTGGAACGTATTCTCCTGCGCCACCTCCGACACAGTTTATGAGCAAGCGTCCATTCCCGTCCATTCGTCCTCCTGGCTTGCCTGCTAGTATGCGCCAGAATATGGCCCAACCCTATCATGATCCCATGCAACAGCAGTATTTGGACCACATGAGTAACATCTATGGTAATTATCCCGCACAATATTCAAATTCCAAACCGCTACAGAGTTAAAATGAATGACAAGATCAGGAAAAAAAATCCAAACATGTTTGTGCCAGATTTTTAATGACTCTTTAGATAGGTCGTGATTTAAAAAAAACATACTACATCGAACTTACACTATTGATACTATGGGAAAATAATGTCTTAAAAGTCAAGACTTAGGTATAATAGACTGTAAGGACGCGTCATCTTATAAATTATTTCAGTTAAATGGTCTTGTTCAGCCTTAAATATCGTACTAGACAAGGCAGAATCATTTACACGGAGTGGCTACTTTTTAAAAGGGCAAGGCTTTATACAGAGTAGAACATTGCACAAAAGCTAATGAGGGTCTATAAACCAGGGTTAACAGTGGTCATTAAGTTTAAAAGGCCACTAAGTTTAATATCCCAGCTCCTCTGAGGTGACATTTTTGGGGTCTGTTACCATAATACATACAGAACAGGAAACCCAACCGCCATGAAATTTGCAATCATGTATCAGCTGATCTGTAAAATCTGATTTCGAAGATAGCTGTGATCGGTTACAAAACGCACACAAACAGCTTAATAGTTTATTTATAGACACAAGTCAAATAAAAGTATGATTTCCAGTTTGAACAACACAGATGAAATTTCATATAATTTTGAACAGGCTTTTTCTCAACAAGAATAAATAAGTTTATAACTACTATAATTGTACATGTATCATGTTATTTTTAGAATTTAACAGAAGTTAATGTTATTCAATACTATAGTGCAACATTTCAAAGAATTATTTCAAAAAAATATTGAGCAAGAAATATTTTCAAAATTCAAAGGGCAAACATTGTAATCATATATCCTTGAAATATCCCAAGATGTAAAAATAGTGTAAACAGCAGTCCTTTTGGAACTTGGATTTTATTCGTTTTTTTATTTTCATTGTGAGTGTATAATTAAAAAAACAAATACACTATTTTTTTCCAGATAACAACAACGGGAACCTCAATACGTTTCCAAATGGTGGGATGGACATGCAAAGGGCCAATTCGGGTAGGTTAATATTTGAAAAATTGTCACACTTTGAAATTCTGTCTTAAAAGCCATCGTAAAATATTGTCTTATCTATTGTTCAAAAACTCATAACACCCAGATTTTGGCTAAACTTTTGTCAAGCCATTGTCTTGGGCCGCGTTGGTTTTGGAATCGTGAACTGCTAGTGGAGGTATCAAATTTCTGGTCGCCTGCCAGGGATTTGGACGCTTCCTCTAAGTCACGTCCTTCAGAAGCATTTCAGAGCCCAGGGAACAACCAAGAGCTGGGTATTATTTGATATTAAGGACGATAAAACTGTATGAAACACGTCATTAAATACACAAGACCTGTGTTGTTTTGTATGTATAGCGGGTAGTGTATTGGTCACTTGGACAGGTAAATACTTCTTATCTAAAACACTGACTCGTCCTCTCAGTCCCCAGCCACAAGTATATTGACTCTCGCATCAAGTACAAAGGGAAATCAAACATATTGTGTGACTGTAATAAAAGATTGATTGTTCTCGGCTGTCGTGTGTGTTGCTTGTTGTACAGTAATTTCGCAAATATGCAAAAAAAAATGGCCACAATCTAGCATGAGGCCCCATAGATAGATTTGGAAATTCAATGCTTTGTCTTGTATATGGTTTGTACTCCAATGAAACAAGAAGGTTTGATTAAAATTGGTCACAACCAAATACAAATTAATCTTCAATTTACAGCAAAATTGTTTGAGGATTTTTTTATACCTTAAACTGAGTATTTATTCATCAGAAAATTCCTTATAGTAAAATATTTCTTTGTTTTTCAAATTAGGCAGTGTTAAGAAATAGAATTTGTTCTGAGGAACACTTGACTGCTGACTAAATTTTGTTTGTTCAATTTTTTTTTGATTTTTTTAAACACTACCACTCCCAGACGGTTCTGTGGTTTGTGTAGACATTTTGTTTATCATCCGGGTTGATTTTGTCTGGTTATACTAAAGTTGAGATAATGTTTATATTGATAAGAAAATCATAACGAATATTCCAAATATATGCTGCTGAAACATTAAACCTGTACCAACATCTTTTGATTTATATTAACCCTTTCACCACTGTAGACCATATGTACTCATCCAGATCAATACATGGTTGAGTCTACTAAAGTTATATAGGGGTGAAAGGGTTAAAATGGATGGCATATTTATCTGTCAAATATAATGCTGTTGGGAGTGTGCCCAGTGAAGAAAACAATATTTATACCGACGAAACTTTCAAAGTGCAGAAATAACCCTCAGATTTATTTTGAAAATTTACCGGTTATACAATTGTATGTGTATTTGCCAGACATATTACAAATTGATATTGTAAAGTCAACCCAATAAAACAACAATGCTATATTTTACATGATGTTGTTGTATCTTTGTGCAGGCTACATGGATTTCCCGGAGGACTATATCGCCATGCCCTGCGCTGCTGAAGATGCCCAGGCCAAGCAGTACCTTCAACATCGAGCCATCGATCGTTGCAACAGCAGACTCAGCGCCATCTATGCTGATGGAACTAATTGAGGATCGACTGTGTTTAGCTTTGTAGCGAAGAGTTCCACAAAAAACACTAGTGCATACGTAGCCTTGTGTCACCAGCGATAGTTGAAGGTCGTGGAGTACCTACCCACCAATCAAAAAACGTGCACAGACTTTTTTTTAAAAAGATACAGACTTTATAAGTAGTGATTATGATTATTGTTATGTATTGAATATAAGGAACTGTGATATGATTACTATTGATAAAATATATAAAAGAAGTCTTTGATAATAAAGATTGGGACGATCAAGGAGAAAAGGGATTCGTCAGTTTGCTAAAACATTTAAACTACACAGAACACATTCGACAAATCCTTGGGGTTGTCAAGTGAAGTTACGTGATATGAGAAAACGCTACGATATGTGGCAGGTCGGAGCCCTGGAGGAGTTGCCCAATCACAGATCCTTATTCTACAGGGGACACGAACCACAAGGCGAGTGCTCACTACAGGACCTGAAAAGTGATATGTGCATTTTCATATTGTGTGACGTGTTTTTCCAGCACTGTATGAAAAAAATCTTGGTTGGAGTTGCAGGGGTTAATATGATCGATAAAACAAGAAATTTAGTTGAAATGTATAAAGATTTTTGCAAGTTAGAGATATATACTTTGTGAACTGTATCTGTATATGGTTTTTGTCACAGTCTCTTTACAATGCATTCCACTCATTTTCTGATAAGTTAAATCATTGTGCCATAAGGTGTATCATCTTTAAAATCGTCATCGCAGGACAGACACTTCGTATCATGTCATCAGCTGGTTTCTATAAAACATATTTTGTGTTCCTTCAGTTTGGTATTGAAATAATATCCTATTAGTTATATATATATTATAAATTTATCTTCACTGTAGCAATTACGATTACTCAAAATATTAAGAAAAAATCTTGATTATTAAAAATTGATAGAAATTGTATACGCAATTTTTCTTTGCAACTTAAATTACGTGATTGATACAATATCTAAATTCATCATCTTAATTCTCTTCATACAGTATTCATTTCAAACTTTGCCAAAATATTTATTATTTATTTGTGAATAAGAACATGTGATACTTAATAAGTATCCCACGTCGACTACCCATCCTAAGTTACAGCAATGATGTTCGGAGGAAAGACGGTTTACCGTGCGTTGTCTCTGTAGACAGTCTGTAGCAAAGCCAAAATCATGATTGTATAAGAAATGCATAAAATATATATTCATTCTTACAGATAAATAGCACTTAGAATATCAGCATATCTTAGAAACAAATGTTTTTATGCAGCAAGCACTTTGAGTAATGCTGAAATCATAAGATATATATCTGTTAGTGAATTAATTAGCAACTTAGGTGTGTGCAGCAAGTTAACTCATTCATCCCTGAAGACACATTTGAACTCCTCCAATTCAAAGGTTGGAATAGTTCATTATGGAATTTCAGGGGTGAAGATTGTAAGGGCCACTTCATGTAACTAGCAATTTAACAGCAATGTGTTTATTCTTTGAACTTGTAATTTTAATAAGATTTTTACGAAAAGAATCATCGGTTGTATGACAAAGGATTTTTTCGTGTTTGAGCAACTACACAAAATCAGTTGAGAAATTCCTTAACTTAAGCATTTTTCCAGCATACGCCAAGAATATTTTCTCCCTTAGCAAGTTTGGTCTTTTCAGCAATTGAGAAAATTACAGCATTATAATTGGTATGTGTTTTATTGTGGATGTATAATACACGGAGATAATCAAAAGCAGGTGTTTTACCGTTACAATCAGGCTGTCTGCAATACTATCCTGTGAATCCGTCCATCGTTATTTAGGTGTTAAACATTCCACTTTATGTTGTGTACCCTTTTAAATGTATTCCCGACCATAGCATTGACCTCTACAATCCGTATCAGCTAGGAGCTTGTCCATGGAATAAGAAGGTCAGATGACATGTGGTTAAAGAGAAATTATTTTGAAACAAAGGCAGTGATTGTACACATTCCCCACCTGCTTACATGTTATAGTGAGCTATAGTTTACATTTTGTGAAGTATAGTGTAAGTATGATGTCAATTTATAATTGTAAGCTATAGTTTATGCAAGTAAAGTAAACTATGGTTAACAAATGGTGAACTATACAGATTGGTGCAGTGAAATTTTATAATATTACATATTATTTTTATGTTGCATTTTGAGATATTTATTCACGTTTTTTGTATATAACATGGCACTCTATCACTGTTGCTGTTTTCGTTTACTTTGGGTGCACACATTTCAAACGACACTTGTATATATATATATATATATTTCCACTGTTACATTGTTGAGCTGTGATGTTTCCCCCTTACCGTTTTTTTAATGGCGAATGACCCATTCACGTAAATCAGAATAAGTTGTCTTATATTCAAAACATTGATAAAATGATAATGTTAATTAATAATATTGTCGTTTCTGTTGATCGTAACTATTATAAATTAATATTAATTTGTATGGGTCTCATTAGCAAATATGAAGTACCAGTTATTAAGAAAAAAAATGGATAATGTTTTTTTTGAATTTTTCATTTTTAACTCATTCACCCCTGAAGACACATTTGGTCTCTTCCAATTCAAAGTTTGGAATAGTTCATTATGAAATTTCAGGGGTGAATGAGTTAATAAATGTTATTGCTGACAAAAATGATATTGAAGATGATATCTGGTCAGTACTAACAGAGGTAGTGATGATAATCATGTTTTATTATGGTATAGGTCTGTCACCTTAACACTGTTGTAAATTATGATCCTTTGTGAGCTGTATAAGTACTGCTTTGTGAAGGATTTAGTTATGAAGGACTAGGAAACACAATAAAAATCATACCAATTTTATTGGTTCAAATGTTAACAAACTATTTGTAGTTAAGTTCTAAAAGACCTATTCAAGTGTCCAAAAAAACATACAAACTTTGGTGAAATTAGGAAATAAAAACAAAATTTGGTCGATTTGTAAAAACATGGGAAAATTAGAGAAAAAATATCAAATCCTGATTTAAGTGTTAACCCTTCCACCACTGTAGACCATAATGGACTTAATCCAGATCAATGAATGGTAGAGTCTACTAAAGTTACCTGGGGGTGAAAGGGTTACATAGTCATTAGATACGTGTTTCCCCTGTATAATATCCTTTGTTACGAGGAGAAGATTTAGTTTGATGGAGAGAGTTAAGTCACATTTTCATCATGCACAACTTTTTAGGGTATTACTATTTTAACTCAGCAACCCCTGAAAACACATTTGAACTCTTCTAATTCAAAGGTTGGCATAGTTCATTAATGCAATTTCAGGGGTGAATGACTTAAGGTTGTATTTAAAATGCTTTCTTTCATTTATTTTCCTTATTAGTTCCTGAAATTATCTTTTTAGCTTGATCATGAAATTCCAATCCTGCAGGTTTTGATTCCTGATTTTTTTTAGAAATCAAATATCAGTTATTATAATCCGTCCAGTCTTACTAAACGTAGTTATATATTATTATGCTTTTGCACCAGCTCTGCTTTCAAAGCAGTAGTTGGTCTGTATATATGTATATATTTGTCGAATATTTAATTATCCACTTTCAAAAAATCAAACGTTTGGTATCCTTCATCACCTGCTATAACTATTATTTCCGATATTTCTAAAAGACGAAAATGATAACTGTATGTCAGTTACCCCTGGTCAGGGAACCACCTTTGTTAAAGGACCACCTCTGTAAAGGGACATATTTTAAAACTCCTCTTTGCAGTTATTTTCCTGTTTACCAAACCGGTATAAAGAGATAAAAATTAGAGAGACAGATTTTCTTAAAGCATTAAAGCATGGTATTAAAATTGAAACATTGATTTTTTTGTCGCATGAAAAAGTATGCATAGAGATAAAATTAATTTTCAATAAGTGAAAAGTAAAAAAATATTGAAATTAAATCACTTTATTTGTATGTTAACAGAAGATGACCAACATTCCAAGAAAGACATAAATAATTCCGTCTGTGATAAACTTTGATTTGGGGCACAATTTCTGATGAATTATTTTACATGCAGACATAAGGGACTTCCTTCTGCCCAATTATTTCAGCAGTAATTATTGTAGTGTCATGTTTTGGAAAGATCTTTCGTTTGACATACGTTTATTTGCTGAGTTTTCCTTTTTTCCAAACAAGGGGGAAAAAAAGGAAATCTTTGATAATCATAAATAGTAATTAAGGAAGTCCTTCAGTTGTCTGAATTTCCTATTGAGGAATACAATGTCCCAGTTTAATGTTATTATTTACTTTTACACAACACAGTCCCATTTACCTGTAGTATTATTTCAGCAAGATGTGATATTTTTTAAACATGTATTTAGCAAAGTAAAGAAATCCGTCCACATTTTCTTTAATTTGAAGTTAAAGACCAAACATCATTCATTTTATTGGTAAGGATGTACATGTCAAAATTCAATGTTTTTGTATTAGATCAAAAAAGGAAATCACATTTTCTAACGACACCTACCCTGAGTACAGGTAGAGATAATATTCCGACGCTTGTTTTTTTCGTCTTATCATTATTTCCTGTCACAAGTTTATAAATGTAATACATCTTTGAGTAAGGGTTGGTACACTTTACAATCAAAACCTAGAATTGACCTGTGTATTTATTTCACCATCACATAGCCATCTGATCAATCACGTAGGGTTGTCTAGTGTGACTTAGGACGCAGCTATATTAATCCAGCTTTTAGAATGTTTGAAATGCATAGTCCAACGGAAATCTTATGTATTTTCTTGTTAATAATAATCTCTTATTCCCCCCTACCCTCCCCCATCCTTTCTTTTTCTTCTTAAATAGAATTTAAAACTTGGGGGAAAAGATCGAACCCTTACAGCCCAGTTTGATGATAAGCAGTAGATAACACCATTCATTGCAGTGGGTGGTGCTATTGACGTTGACTGGATTGGCAAATATTTTTTTTTGTCTTTTTGTTTTCTTTTTCTATAAATAAAAACTATTATTGCACAAGTTTTATTCTATGTCCCCTCTGTCCCAGCTTTGTGTATAGCCCACTACTACCATTATTCCTGATGTGACCTGTATCAATTTGAATAGCATTTGAAGGCAATAGATGTAACGTCTATAGGGAACACTATCTGAGGATAGTTAGGAAGTGAAGAACGTTCTCTTCATGCACTAGCGATGCTGAATATCAAGTCTTTTATGTTTTGTTTTGATTCATGTTGTTGAAGTAAAAAGTACCTCTAAATTTTTTGTTTTGGACAATGAAACAGGATTTTAAGTTGATGTTAAGTTATATTGTTATTCTAAGTTAAGTACAAGTAATTTTGTTATCGCCTTTTGTCTGTAGTGATGCTGATGTTTTCAGCTGGCAACTGATAAACTTCTACAGATAATTGTTCGTCTTTGGACAACTTTTGTTGTTGTACTTTGTGGAACAATGTTCCGTGCACAATTATAATTTATAGCGGTTGCCAGGCGACAGTAATTGTAAGTGCCTTACCGTAACCTGATGGGTTTGTATGGAAAGTTGCTGTCCTATCGTTAGTGATACAGAATATTATCAGCTGTAATGTACAAAGTCTGTGTACCATGATTTTGTTAATCATTGTTCATTAAATGGTCTTGGAACAATAGTTTTTTTGTTGTTATTGTTTTATGAATTGTGTTGTTTTGTTATTTTCTATGGCTACCGTTTGATCACTACTGGGGATCGGGTATTCTGACAATCGAGCTAGTTCTCTAGTACCTCGGGAGCTGTGAGCTCTTTTCAATGATTGTTAGGACTCTGGTTGGGGTTTTAAAAATCAAAAATAAAACGAAAAAATATTTATTTTTTATATATAAAACGGTTGCTATAAATCAAAATGGACCAAAAGAGACACTGTTTTTTAAACTACGACAAAATTGATATTTTGATTGCATAAAAAAATATTCGTACTTACCAAGTACAAGTCGTTTGAATGGTACAAAACTGAGAATGTTGGAATTTCTGATCATTGGAGAAATCGGCGCCATAAAAACTTTCAAAACTGTATACCTGGATGTGGATTATAGACAATTCCACCAAGAGACATGTCAGTTGAGCGTCGGGAAACGTGATACATAGTTATATACACTGTAAAGGTAAAGGAAACGGGAGCTGTGATGTACTCTTTGTTTGTATAAATAGTACTGTCTACCCAATACACTGGACTACAGTTGTACACTTACGTTCCCTGTACAGAACATAAGTGTCGTATGAGAAGGGATGCAACAGTTATGTGGATAGCATGTCTGAGGAGGGAAACAGGGAAGCAACACAGGAATGCAACAAGTGTTTCACCTCCGTTTTTGTGGGCATCTTCCGTTTTGTTTGATGTCTCGCTCAGTTTCTGTGAGATTTTGCCTGTGACTTGGAGATGTGGAATATTAATTGTTTTCTAGTTCATGCTCTATGCTCATTGCGACCTTACAAAGACCATGTTTAGTGGATTTTGATAATCGTCCCCTGTACTCTTGTGTTCATCTTCAACGTAAAGCACCACCGGCTTACATTTTGACGCCACCACTATACCCTCGCCTCCAAAGGGTCAAGCCACAGAACTATATTTACCATAGTTTTATCAAGAGTCTCTCTCAGACAATACAGCCAGCCTTCAACTGCAAGAGTGCGTATACCATATTAAATCACGTGTGCTGCTTCGGTCATGTATGTTTGGAGAGTTATGATGTTATATATACATATATATATATAATGCCAAAAATGAAATAATGGAAAATATATGCTCTAATGCCAAATATGTAATGTGATCTGCCAGTCTCGACTAGAATAATCGTGGTTAACCAGGTTAAATATATATCTACACAATATTGGGTTGTATATTAACGTTTTTGAAAGAATGTATTGATACTTATATTTTAACATGTTGGCCAAAATAAAATGTTCATTTAATGAAAAATGATGGAAAATTGTATACAAATGTAGGCGTTGAAGACAGATGAATTACAAATGATGCATTTATTACTACAAAGAACAGTCTTGGAAAATATTGACTTACAAACAGTCATCAAAGATGATCCCGTTAAAATAACAAAAGACCATGTTCGTGAAAATAACCAAAAACAATATTAGTGAAAATAACAAAAGATAAGGTTCGTGAAAATAACCAAAGATAAAGTTTGTGAAAATAACCAAAGACCATGTTCTTGAAAATAACCAAATACAAACTTCGTGAAAATAAATTGATGTTTCGTTCAACATCGGTTTTGAATAGAAGCCTTGAAATAGACACCAGACTTAGGAGTCAACACATGATGAGAAATATTGATAAATGAAGATTGTTGGAAAGTTAAAAAGCACGAGTACATTTAAATATGTTGCTGTGAACTGTTGTTACTCTTTGGTCGGGGACACTAACGGATCGCCCAACGACGACTCCGCAAAGACTGATATGGTACTCGCACAGTTTTTCTCATTGATAGAAAAAAGCTTCAAAATGATCACATGTACCAGATTCTATAAACACTTCAAGACTGACCTTATTTATGGGATTTTAGGATCAAT